TTTCCAACGCTTTTGTTGAAGGCTTGCTTGACAAGGCCAATCATTCTCTCGAACTGCCCACCCCACCATGGTGCTTTGGTGAGGTTGAACTGCCACTTGATGTTCAGCTGGGCAAGGAAATCGTGCAGTCGTTCATCTTGTATCACATTTCGCAGCCACTTTGCTGCACCCACAAACGTTCGATCGTTATCCGAGTAAATCTTCTCTGGGCGGCCTTTCCTTGCGATGAATAGCTTCAAGGTACTGATAAACTCTTTTGTCTCCATGATTTTCGTCAGTTCGAGGTACAAGGCACGGCTCAGGCTGCAAACTTACAGGACTATGTAGGCTTTTCCCTCTCTGTTTCTGCTAACACGGTACTTTACTGGACCTGCATAGTCAACCCCGACGACCTGAGAGGGCGTAGTTTCCACAGTACGATCCTGAGGCAGGTTTCCTGGAGGGAGGTTGGAGTATGCAACAGCATGAAACCTCTTGCATGCCTAGCAGCGCTTAATTAGGCGTTTGACGAGCTGGCGAAATCTGGGGGCCCAATGTGTCTCTCGCACTTTGGCCATGGTTAAGCTCACTCCCCCATGTAGAGTGGCTTCACGGGCGTGCTGCACGAACTTCTCAGTGTACATCTCACTGTCAGGTAGGTAGACTGGGTAATCACCTTGGATCCTTCCGCGACATTTCAAAGCACCATCATGATTCATCTGCAGGTTAAGTTTCAGCTTATCGTCTTCGAACTGTTCCAATCCGGCACACTTCTTTTGGGTTTTCTTCTCCCAGAGAAGCTTCTGGTAGTTTATCTCCTCTGTGGTGAGAGCGCCTGTCTTCCTCTGGTGCTCGGAGTTCCTTGTGTTGTTGATGAACCTTTGGACCCACGCTCCTACTCTCAAACAGTGCCAAAGGCAACTCATCAAACACATCCGATTCTTTTCCATCCACAGCTAAGGCGAACACCTGCTTGGTTTCTTTCGCTTCTGCCTCAGACTCTGGGGTTGCAGTTGTTACAATATCTGGGGCCAGCTAGCTGGATCCTTCAGCCAATTTGGTCCTCTCTCTTTGTTAACTGGCCCGCCTCGACTCCCCAGATCTGCAGGATTCTCTTGTGTCGGTACGTGTCTCCAAATGACGGACTCCTTTTCTTTTATCTTGCGGACACGGTTTTCATCAAATTGCTTGTATTCGCTGGCGCCTCTAATCCAATGAAGGGCAACAGTGCTGTCAAGCCGAACATTTAGTGACTTTACGGGGTACCCGGTCAGAGCATCGTGGACGTTGGTCAGCAAATTGACTGCCATGTGGCCTGCAACCAATTCCAGGCGGGGAATGGTGACTCCCTGCTTAGCGAGGCGTGTTTTGGCAGCTACCAATCCTTGGTTCCCCCCTGACGTTTGTTCGACTACTGCATAGACAGCTGCGGCGACCGCTTGAGCGCTAGCGTCTCCAAAGGCGTGAAGTGCAATTGCTTGAATAGGTTGGCTGGAACTAGGGCTCTAGGTACTTCAGTTTTAACAGGTAGTTTCATTTCCCACTTCTGCCTTCGCTTCAAAAGTTCTTGGGGCAGCTCTGCATCCCAGGCCATCTTCTTTTGACAGGCATCACGGTACAGCATTTTTCCTTCTAAAGGCAAAGGCGAGACTAGGCCGAGGGGGCCATACACCATTGCGATTTTGCCCAGCACTCCTCTCTTTGTAGCGGCTACAATTTCTTGGGGGAAGGTAACTGCAATTATGTCAGAGTCTTTGTTCCACCTCAATCCAAGGAGTCCACACTCCCCCGGCTTCACTCCTAGCTGTTCCTTTGCGTAGGTGACCACTCCTTCATTGTCGTGTGCGCCGAAGGCTTCTAACTCTCCGACGTTAGAGTTCCATTTATGAAGATTAAACGAGGCTTTTCCGAAGATCTCTGTGGAGGTAGCTTTAATTTTCCACGCCTTTTCAACAGTTTGGTCTCCCATCAGCAAGTCATCCACATACAGACCCCGCTCAATCTCTGGTACAGCATCAGGGTAATCAGGTCGACAAATGTTTAGGTGATGCTGAATGACTCCTCCGAGGAGAAAAGGTGATGGACCCAGACCAAACAGAGCTCGTGTGAATCGCAGGGTACGTACTTGCTCGGGATACTCTCTGGTGATCCAGTGAAAACGCAGCGCGTCTCGGTCTTCTGCGCGGATACGCACTTGTAGGAACGCCTTTTGTATGTCTCCTGCAATAGCCACTTCATTGAAACGTCCGCGCACTAGCACTTTCCATAACTGATTTTGCAGCGGGGGTCCCTATTCCAGACAGTCATTTAAGGAGGGAGCTGCATCATAGGCTCTGGCGGAGGCGTCATAGACAATTCGCATTTTCGTCGTCTCTGAACTCTCTCTGATAACAGCTTTGTGAGGAATGTAGAATTCTTTCACGTGGGCGGGCTCTTCGGCTTCTTCAACAACGCCTTCTTCTAGTTGCTGCTGTATTATGGCATCATAATCTTTCAATTTGCCGTTCCGTTTTAGGCGCTGTCTTATTATCAGGCAAGGGGGGATGACCACCTTTCCAAGGGAGCGCAGTTTCGTACCATCTCTCTGGACTGCATTTAAGCTGTTCAAGGAACTCCTGGTGCACAACGTCCTGATCTCCGATAGGCGTGTCTTGCAATTCCAATACGTCCATACGGCACAGTTTTTCGTAGTCTCCAATTGAGGTCTGTGTCAAGAACATGTTTTGAGAGCAACTTCAGCACCTGATGACATTATCGTCCACCCGAACCTGGTCTGCTCAGCAATAGGCTTGCCCTCGGCTCATGCTCGCTGATAACCGGCCATCTTGATCTTCGTGTACTCATTTGCCCCCAGTATCACATGGATGGGAAGGAGTTCCTTTGTGTCGGTTTCTTCCATTCGGACACCTTTAAGATGTGGATATCGCCCCAGCATCTCAGGATAGTTAGGATTCTCTAGGGTTAGCAGCTCGCGCTGTTCGATTTTCGTCACGCAGACTGGTAGCACGCACTTCTCTAGTGTATCGCATATCTTCACATCGTAGGTCTCGACGCGCTTCGTGACCAATCCTATGATTGTTTTAATACCACGTGTCAGGGTGCGAGAAGGCTTTACTTTCAGGAGATTCACCAAGAAGGCTGATATGTACGATCGAGTGGCCCCAGTGTCAAGTAACGCACGGCATTTCACTCCATTGACCTTGATTATAACTACTCGGTGGCAGACTTTCTCCCTGTGTGCGGCGGTCATTGCAGCTCCTTCGTTTGCAGGTTGGGTAGGCTGATGGCAGATAGATGTGTGATGCCTCTGCTTACAGCGAGCGCAGTTTCCTCGGCTTCGACAGCGAGCTGCTCGATGAGGCCAGTGCAATTAAAACAAAGCCTTTTCTCTTGTAGAAACTTCTTCCTATCGGGGGCGCTTGAGATAACTGTACAATCACTAGGCTTGTGTGAGGCGTTATTGCAGAAAACACACCCCCGTGGTGCATTCGGGTCTTGGTCTTCTACGTAAAAACTTCTGTCACGGGATTTCGCGATTTCACGCGGGTGAATCTCCTTCCACTCGCGAAGGGCGTTGATAAGCTGAGTGAAATCCCACGTTTTCCAGTCCGGTTTCCCTTGAACTAGTTCCGCTTTGATTCCCGGCAGCTTGTTCAGGACTCCTCGAACCAATGCCTTGCAATCCGACGTTTTTCCTAGGGTTTCAAGCGACTGAACATTGTACAGGAGTGTCTCGAAGAAATCGTGAATCTTCGCGGGATGTGTTCCGGAAATAACAGGGAGTCCTTGGATGTTTTCCACATAGGCACTAATAGTCTCGCTTGTCTGGCAGCAATTTGTTTGAAGAATATTTTTTGCACGCTCGTAGCCTTCTGATGTAAAAGGTAGGCCATCGATCCCCTTTCTCACTCGCGGCTCCACTAACTCCGTGAGATAGGCGAATTTCGTGACCGCAGGCAGACCCGTCTTGTCAATCTCCGCCTCAAATTTATTCCAAAATGCCAGCCAGTTCTCAAGGGCTCCATTGTACTTTGTGATGACAAGCTTCGGAAGTTTGACATTCTGTTTACTCGGAGAGGCAACCTTTTCCTTTTCGAACTCTGCCTTCTGCTCCAGTCGCTGTCTTTCGAACTTTAATGGTTCTTCACGCTGGCGGGCCAACAGGGTCTCCTTTGTTTCTCTTTCTTCATTCTCCGCATCAGCCACCATTCGTTTCACACGTTCTTCGAGTAAGGTGATCTCCGTATCTGCGGCGTCGATTTTCAATTCGAATTCTTTCCCCCATTCTTTAACTTTGTCTAAGGCCTCCCCACCTTCAAGCTTGGCTTGGTCGATCTCTCTCTTTATTTCTTCCGCGCCGATAACTATGCTCTGTAAAGCTTCTTTATGTCGACGAATTTTCCCGGTGATCCCGGTACTAATAATACCCTCTGTCTTCTCGTGGGTGAGCTGCAAAAGCTGTAGTTTTGCTTTCAGTTTTCCGATAAGCGTCTCCATTATTCTCACGGTCCCGTCGGAGGTGCCACTTTTGTCGTGAATGCTAACGCAGAAACTTCACGATTTCACAGTTTCAAGGGTTTATTCCAAATAGGAAAAGTTCACTGCCAAAGGTACACACGAAATCTAAACCCAACTGACTAAAAAATTAAGATAACATGCTTAAAGGGGAACTCCAGGATAAAAACGAACTTATTTAGAATAGTAGTCCTATATTTAAACTTTCAGTTTTTAATAAACTTTCTTACCGTACTACTACCGCTAAGTAAATCTTTTACGTAAAAGCTGGCCGAAAAGCCGTCGTAGTATTCTACCATCTTGGAAAGAATACGAGCCGCGTTACAATGGTCAGCAGTGCGTTGTGACGTAAGAACGTTAATGGTTCGCGGTTGGTTGGCGGAGGGTTCGCGGGAGATTCGCACATGAGAACTACGAGGGTAGAACTTCTTTCTATTTCGTTCCTTTGTATTGTGTCCGTGGCCTCCAGTTCAACCTTTTTTGACGGTTTGTAAGCAAAGCAGAAAATGGTCAGCTGCGTTGTGCCTGACTACCACAATTACTCAGAAAAGACGGGAGAAGCCGTGAGTTACCACAAGTTCCCGCAAGACAATAGAACGAAGGCATGGCTCGACCGAGTAAGGCGTGTAGATATGCCACCCCTGGAAAACAACTATGTTTGCAGCGAACACTTCTTGCCCAGCTGTTTTCGGATGGATTTCCCTGCTGAACTAATGGGCGAAAAGGTTCGAAAAAAATTAAGGGATGACGCTATACCGTCTCTGTTTAAATATGGTCCGGAACCCAAAAAAGCGCGAGACTGTAATTTCACTTTCATTATTTCGACATTACGATAAAAACAGACAATTGAACATTCCAAAAATATTTGTAGAAAATACTGTTAAGTATTGAACTTTATTCCATCAGGCTGTGAAAGAACTTTTAGCTGCTGACTCCCAGACTGTGACGATGAGTCAAGCTCTTCTTCAGAGGATGTCTTGGAAGACTCTTCAGATCAAGACCAGTTTGATAATAATGAAGAAACAGGCTCCTCAGAACCAAGAGTGCATGACATTGGCATTCAGTGTTGCTGTCAGCCTGTTACCTTAAGAAGTTTAGCAGTTCAAACTGAGGATTCCAAACTAAAAAAGAACAAAGCTAATGTTACCCCCACCCCTATACAAAACGAGCCCTACATGTATGTCCCACCATATGTAGATGCTGTACAATGGAAGGTTTTGAAGGATCACACTTATTCTTTACGAGCATGTCCCAGTTCAGTGTTTCCTACTTATGATGATAACTTTTTTAGCACCATCCCTTTCACTCCATTGCACAAAGAAGACCCAAGGCTTGAAAATGATGATGACAACATTGATGGTCATGTGAATTACACAGATGATGAAGTTGATGATGAAGACCTAGATCCCCACTGGAAATTCCCCCCTAAAGGAAAACACTATGGCAATGCTGATGAAGATGATGATGATGACGATGAAAAATCAGAAGATGAGTTCCCAGAAAAACCCGGCAATGAAAAAAATTTGTAGTCTTTAATTCAAATCTAAATAATTTATTTAAAAGATGCCACGAATGCGGTGATGTTGTCATTGAACAGAAGAGGAAAACTGTTGGGAAAAGGTTATCTGTACAGCGTGTGTGCCAGAGTGGGTGTAAAATGACATGGGAGTCACAACCTGTGGTAAAAAGGAAACCTCTAGGAAATTTATTACTGGCAGCATCCATTCTTTTTACAGGTAACTTTGCTGCCATAAGTCGTCTGGCATCATGTTTTAACCTGCAATTTTTCAGCGAAAGTGTCTTTTATGACATCCAGCGTAAATACCTGTTCCCTGTGATGAATGAGGCATGGGAAGTAGAGAGTCAACTGCAGGTAGATAGACTGACTTCCAAGGAAGTTGTAAATCTCGATGGTGATGGCAGGTGTGACAGCCCTGGCCACTGTGCCAAATATGGCACCTACACTTTAATGGATGAGGACTCTGGAGATGTGGTTGCATTCAATGTTGTCCAGGTCTCAGAAGTCAGCTCATCAAATGCCATGGAGAAAGAGGGGTTTTCTCGCTGCCTTCAAGACTTGGAGGAAAAGGGGATCATGATTAACAGGATTGCTACAGACCGCCATGCTTCCATTAGCAGCAGCATGAAGAAGGACTTCCCACACATCAACCACCAGTATGATGTTTGGCATCTCTCCAAGTGGGTGGTCAAAAAACTTACAAATAAAGCCAAACAAAAGGGTTGTGAGGAACTGGCCCCATGGATACAATCCATTTCCAATCACCTTTGGTGGTGTGCGGCAACTGCGATGGGAATGTGCAGCTTCTGCGTGAAAAGTGGAAGTCTCTTTTAGATCATGTAGCCAACAAGCACAAGTGGTCAGGCAACACGCTCTTCCATCAGTGTTGCCACCGATGTATCTCTTCCTCTGAAGCTAAGCAAATTTGTTGGCTTAAGCCAGGCTCACAAGCTCACATACCTTTAGAGGAAGTGGTACTAAATAAAAAGCTTCTTTAAGATCTGGCTTAACTAACTGACTTCTGTCACACTGGTAAAATTGAGGTGTACCATTCAATGATGCTGAAGTATGCCTCCAAACGCGAGCATTATTCTTACCAGGGCATGGTAGCTAGGACCTAGCTAGCCGCTCTAGACAACAATGCTAACACTGGCCGTCAAGCTGTGATAAAGTCAGGTGAACGTGCAGGTGAGGCACGATACAAGCTTTGCTTCCCAAAAGCAAATAAAAGATGGGTTGTCAAACCAATTAATGAGAAGAAATCATATCAGTTCTTGTCAGACCTACTTTCAGAGGTGCTCAGTCGTGTTGAGCAGGGGAATGCAGCCGCACAGCCACTTCATCCACACCTACCAAGTAACATTGCCTCAGAACCACCTCCTAGTAAATCTGGTGCAATACGCCAACATCGGTCAAGATTTAATAGATGACTTAACAATAGTGAGCCTTTGACACATTTCCTGGAGGTTTCCTACTTGTAACAGTCAATCACAGTAACACTGAAATTTTTTCCAAACTTGACAATAAGAAACTCAAATACCCCCATGTCTTTTTACTCCAATTACGTGTAAAAAACTGAAACCCACATGACAAGAACAGTTCATCACTTGTGAGGTTTTTTGACTGCAAATAATGAGGAATAGACTTTTTTAGCTAGTATGTTTTGTTTTCCTTATTCACACCATGTTTTTTATGTTCTCAAGGAGATTTGCATTTTCATAACCTATGTAGACATATGTACATGGATGCATGTGTATAGGACTTTTCAACATATCATAGTGTAAAATGAAAATACATAACCTAAAGGCTTAAAAACTCAGCTGACAAAATGTAAGCAAATTATTTTTAGTACCCTCTTTATAACTGTATATTATGCATCATAAGTGGCTTACAGTTTCTCATTTACACTGGCAGCCTGATGTCAGTTATAAGTCATGCCACTCGTCTGCATATTTAAACCCTGTAAAGACAAACTCCTCCTCAGGCCCAGGTGGAGGATAGAAGTGCCTGATACACATTACAGCACATGAAGGAAGCACAACCCTAATTTCCTCGCCCAGGATTCCCTAGCATTATCGGGCCAATTGTCTGTATGCTATGTGCCTGTAGAGTTTGTCTTCAAAACCATCAAAAGATTCTTTGTATTGTTGCTTATTTTGATACCATGCAGTCTGCAGGACCTATCTATTTATACACACTGGATGGAACCCTGGATGCTGCGTGATGCATGTTGGCTCTTCCTCACATTCACCACTAGTAACTTCTTCATTAAGCTTATTTTTAACCTGCTCTATTTCTTGGCAGCATATGCATGCCTCCACTCTCCCCATAATCTGGCAATTATCACATGAGCACCTAAATCATAAATGGGAAACAAAAACTGAATTGTTGTACTTTTAACATGAGGTACAGGTTAAGAAGCCGAATAAACACCAGCAATTGAGACAACAGTTTAAGGTTTCGTAAGATTTAGATGTTACTAACTTTTTTTGTGATATTATATGTAGAAAAAATATGTTGAAGTAAAATATTAATTTTGTTTGAGTTTAAGAAAACTGTTTATACAAGCCAGTAAAGAAAATGAGGACACTGGCAAATTTAGATAGTTAAACATGAAATTCTCTCCTGAAATAGGTTAGGCGGGACCATCGGCCGCCTGTTGACTTGAAGAACCGATGTGTAGTGAAGATCAACATTTACAAAAATACAATTCTTTTTGTTTGCACCCGTGCTAGTGTTAGCTTATATAAAAGAAGGCGAAGAGCCAAGAAAATTGTTCAAAATCCTTCCCTTCTACTTGAAAAGTCCAGCTTCGGGAGGAGGAGGGAATTTATGCTAGGTCTTTAACAGCTTTCACGTTCACAGCACCTAATTCGCAAGACATATTGAAAACTACGAACACTAAGCGATTTGTCGGCCGCTCGATAATGTTTACGTACTCAAGGCTCTCAAAACGAAAAAAACAAAAACGAAACAATTACGAACACGACATCTGGGCCAAACAACAGTTTATTTCGCACATCGGTAAAAGAATTACAATGAAGCAAACAGCACAGCACATACCAGTCGGAATTTTCCAGTCTTGGATTCAATTCTTCGCTGCCTTCCATGGACTCGTCGCCAGAAAGACTTTCAGCGTTGATATCCCTCTCATCCGTGTTTACCCGCGGTTCAAACTGATACGGCTGGGTAGAAAACGTTTGAGCTCCTTGTTCTTCGTCGGAGAACTCGGATTCTGACCCAGAATTCGACATTATAAGAGTGATAAAGGTAAGAAAAACTCCCAAAGCAGACGATGCAAAATGTTGTACACAACTAGAAGCCGCGTAAATATCGGATTACGCTTGACATTCTGACGTCATAAATGAAAACGCTGACCCATTTCTGAGCAGGCGAACAATTTTCAAGATGGCCGAATGCCATTTGCATTTTTGACTCCGCTTTAGGGTGAAATAGCTTCGTTCTAACGAACAATCACTTAACTTAGTAATCAAAAATTGAAACAACAAATGTAGGCAAATCATTAAGAAGAAGGTCATTTTTCTCCGGGAGTTCCCCTTTAAAAACAAGGTATTGAAATTGATCCCTTAATGATATACATTCCGATCACTACCGCGATAATTAAGTGTCCATCTTAATTGTCACGCAATGTTATGATCTCACACACATTTGAAAAACGTGGAGATCTTTCGAGTATGCAACTAATTTGTATGACTAAACAAAGAAAGCAAATATTGCCACCAAAAACAGAAAGGTACGAGGCTAAAATAAACAAATAAATCAAGCAAAAAGTACATACATATAGTAAAATACAATCACACAAAAAGTCATACAAGATATTTGATTTAAAGTCAAGGGATTCTACGTTTTACGCTTCTTATATATTGTTAATGCAATAGATTTTGTGAGAGGGTATTTTTAAAGCGAGACCATTTCCGTACAAAGACGTTTGAGTCGTTATTGTGGAATGCAATCTGCTTTTCAATTTCGGTCGAGTTCATAAGTACCTGTATATACACATGCAGCTTAGGAAGCTTGTTCTCAAGTCTGCAGGTGTATATGTAATGTCTAGCTATAAGGAGTAGGTGATGAAAGAGAAGGTCTTTTTACGTCGTCAATGAGACCGAAACAGAGAGACAATGAGGGAATGACGTTTTCTAAATCTTTGAAATTTTGAGAGATCCACTCGAACATGCTCTTCCTGAAGTTCTGAGTGTATTTGCAAGTCCAGAATAGATGAACGAGGGTTTCTTTTTGTTCCTCGGAAAAGGAGCAGGAATCTGTTTGTTTGATACCTATTTTGTACAGAAAGTCATTGTGGCTATTTTTCTGTGAAGGAATTCCAAATTTGAAGGCTCTAAGCTTTGACTCTCTTGTACACAGAGATGATAGGCAGTACGTATTTTCCCAGTTTACTATTATACTAAGATTACAATGTATGTCTCTCTCTTCCAACCACTTTCCCTGACTTCTTGATGGTATAGAAGCTTTTCCGTTTATTAGACATCATTAATTTTCTTGGAAACTTTGGTGTGAGACAGAAGGGGAATCAACTGGATCCTTTGGAGTTGGGTCATGATAGGCTGTAGAGTGTACTTTCTTGTAATGTGCTACAGCAGATATCACTTTGTGATATTCGAGATAGTTGGTTTTGATGCTATATTTATCTATGAAGGCGTTATAGCTTAGAAAATTCTGGTCGTTATCTAACAGATCTCTAATCTCCTTTATCCCCGCGCGCTCAACCATGATCTGTAGAAGAATGGACGATTTTCAATTCTAATGTGAGAGTTGTACCATATATATTGGAGGCAAAATCGAGGTTATCGTCTTTGTAATTAAATTTTGTCCAGTACTGTATGATTTATTTTAAGAAAGGGTCCTTGAGGTTGAGCAGCGTAGAATCTTGCTGTTTCAAATTGCTTCGGGTCAATAGTTTTCCTCCGTACTTCCCTAAGTAATGGTCAAAAAAAAGCTTCCACTTCCCTTTATTTTCTTCATTTAGATACCCCTGGATCCATTTCATTTCCAAGGATTCATTAAAGCTTTGAATACCTAACATCTTAAGTCCTCCTTTTGCGTAATTATTTATCATTGTCGTCCTTTTGATTTTATCGCCCTTACCGTCCCAAAGGAAATCGTACAATATAGAGTTGATTGTCTTGAGTATGTCAGGAGGTGTTGGAAGAGATGACAATATGTGGACGATTTGTGATACGGCTAGAGTTTTATGATTGTAATTTTACCCAAGAGGGTCAGTCCCGACCAATTATCTAAGATACTCCTTATTTTCTCAATTTTCTCAATAAAGTTAGAATTAAGAGACCTGTCTTCCAAAGTCGAAAACCACCCCCAAGGCGAAGACCTTCTCGTTTGCCCAAGTTATTGGTTTACTTGAAGGGAAAGTGAGATTAGAACTTTTAGAGGCGCCAGTCCAGTGGGCTTCAGTTTTTTCATAGTTGACCTTCAAACCCGATACGGAAGCAAAAGCATCAAGTAAGTACAGAGACCTCAAAAAGGAGGACTTGGAGCCATTCAAAATCATAGTCGTGTCATCTGCATATTGGGATAACTTACACTCAGTATGAAAAATCTTTATTCCACGGACCTCATTATCTTTCCTTACTGTATTACCTAGTATTTCAGCGCATAAAATAAATAAATATGGGAACAGCGGGCATCCCTGTCTCACACCGCGACCTAAGTTGAAAAAGTCCGAAGACCATCCGTTGTTCCGAACACAACTGCTGATATCGGTATAAAATACTTTTACCCAAGTAACCAGAGAGGTTCCAAAATTATAGTACTTCAGAGTTTTTTCTATAAAGGACCATTCAATACTATCGAAGGCTTTTTCGAAGTCGACAAACAGTAGTAGACCAGGTATTTTTTCTGTATTTGTGTAATTAATAACGCTATCAATAAGTCTGATGTTTTCTCCGATGAATCGGCCTTTTAGAAAACCAGTTTGATCGTTGTTAATTATTTTTGGTAGGACCTTTCGTATTCTACTTGCAATGGATTTGGTGACTATTTTGTAATCGCAATTAAGAAGGGTGATAGGCCTCCAGTTTTTTAACAGGTTGGTCGGTTTGTTCTTTTTGGTATGAGAGTAATCAATCCTCTTCTTTGAGTAATCGATAAGAGACCTTTTGTATATGCACAATTTAAGGCATTTAACTGATGCTGATCGATGTCATTCCAAAAGACTTTATAGAATTCGGCTGGGAGGTCGTCACTTCCAGGGCTCTTATTTGATTCCATCGATTTTAAACTTTCTAAACATTCAGAGGCAGTCAGGAAGCCTTCACACTGTTTTTGCTCTTGCTCATTTAGGATAAGAGTATTTCCGTCTGGGAAAAACATATTTTCTTCCTTAGTGTCGGGTTGCGTATTAGCTGACGAATAAAGATTCCGATAGAAGGATTTTGCTTCTTCTAGGATCTCGCTATCTGTATTGACGAAATTATCATTTGCTAATGTGAGGTGTTTGATGGTTTTTTTACTGAAATGTCGTTTTTCCTAAACAAAGAAAATAAATATTGCCACCAGAAACAGAAAGGTACGAGGCTAAAATAAACAAATAAATCAAGCAAAACATTAAAAGTCCGTTGGTTGGGTCCATAAGGAGTCTCAGAAGAACTTACACTGTAGTCTGATACGGGAAGCAGCCGTACGTTCGCGTGACAATGGAATAACATAAAATTTAGATTAAATGTCTCGATTAAGCCTGTGCACTGGATTGAGGAGGCCTAAGGTCTTCAGGGATATTACTTACTTTGTAAATAACATTGTTGATAATAAGCTTTCTATCGATACCTTTTGCGCTCAAACCTCGCTCCTTTGCTTGGAACATCGCTTTGATTAATACTTTCCTTTCCTGCTGTATCGTTTTTGCGTAATCTTGCGTAATGTATACATCCTTAGCTCTCTCTGAATCTTTCAACCTGTTTCTCGCTCTAAAAACTGCGTCTCTGTTTTCCCTGCTGAGGAAGCGTGCAATAATTGGTCTCGGGAAGCTTTTGGAGGCGTCTTCTGAGCGCGGTTTCCCAACACGATGAACTGCATGGAAGTGGATATCTTCTACATTGATATTCATGTCATTTTCTATTATATCATACACTACATCCATGCAATTTTCGTCATTGCGTTCAGGTACATTCATAAATCGAAGATTCTCGCGTCTAGAATAGTTCTCCAAAGCGATAATTTTCTCCTGTTCTTCAAGCAGCCTTGTTTTCAAATTTTCGATTTCAGCTTGTTCGCTGTCAACTTTTTTGAGGTTACTTTGAGCAGGTCTAGTTCTTGGCGATGAGAGTCGAGGCTTTGTTGGCATGTTTTCTTGTAGTCGTTGTGGGTTTTTGTTTCTTCTTGAATGTCGTTGATTGAATCCCAAGCCGGCTCTAGAGATTTTTCTACGTCTCTCAGGGACTTTTTCACACCATCAAGTTCTTGTTTCATTTCGTGTCTTAAGATTGAAATTTCGGTTGTCAGGTTTCCAAAACGCTCTTGCATTTGGGCATCTAAACGAGAAAGTTTGTCCGTAATTTGGTTAAACTGCTCCAGGCTAAGGGCCTCAGATTGTTTGCTGTCTTCCATCACAGTGCTGCTTGAGCGACGATTTCTTTTGGGCGATGGCGTCTGTTGTGAAGATGAGCTTGATGATCTGTTTTCTCGCTCGTTTCTTTTAGACATTTAATAGAGGCTGTCAGGTCTACCGCCAGATTTTGGCATCGATGTTTCATTACCAAGATATTAGAATACAAAAATGACGCAAAAATTCAACGTTAGGCGTACTTCCCGTCCACAAATTTACGCAGCGACAGTGACACGTTTTGCCGCCATGATTGCTCGACCCAATCCCCAATCTTATAAAATACTCACAATCTTGCTTCCTTGGGTTACTTAAGGATCCTTATTATTCATTCAAAATATTTCCCCGATTCTGATTGGCTAAAAACACACGCATAATTCACCATAACAAGTTACTGATGAACAAATTTGGAAGAATTTTGTGTTTAACGAGGAAATGACGAAAAATGCAGCGTTTTTGCAGGTTAAGGCATTGTTAACCGAGAAGACCTGGGGACGAGGTTGAGTTGTTTTGGTTATGAAAACAAAAAATGGCGGACATTTCACTCTTTTCAAGAGTAAGAACTAGGCGAAATTATAGCTAAAAACATGGCAAGAACAGCAAGAACACAACTCGAAGGGCGACATCTGCTATGTGGAGAACATTTGCGGAGCTGAAAAACCCTAAACGTGCACTATCGAAGGTGAACTTAACATCGATGGAGGTAAGCATGTTTTAGCTTTGTTTTTAAACTTGTAGTTATTTTAAATGAATAATAAAACAATTATTTAATTCAGCTTTCGTATCATATGAAGAATTATGGAGATCTCGGAGGGTGTTATCCGCCTCGGCCTACGGCCTCGACGGAGGACACCCTCCTCGATCTCCATAATTCTTCATAAGATACTCAGCCTCATTCATTAATTGTTAATTATTATTTATTCAAAATATTTCCCCAATTCTGATTTGCTAAGAGCAGACGCATAATTCACCGTAACCAGTTACTGATGACCAAATTTGGAAGAATTTTGAGTTTAACGAGGAAATGACGTGAAAAATGCAGCGTTTTTGCAGGTTAAGGCACCGTTAACCGAGAAGACCTGGGGAAAAGGTTGAGTTGTTTTGGTTGTGAAAAAAAAACGGCGAACATTTCACTCGTTTCAAGAGTAAGAACTACAGCTGGAACTAGGCGAAATAATAACTAAAAACACTAATTAGCAATTAATGAATTCGGCTTTCGTAGGATATGAAAAATTAAGCAGATATCGGAGGGTATTATCCACGTTGGCCCTCGGCCTCGGTAGATAACACCCCCCTCGATCTATCCCACGAAAGCCGAATTCATTAATTGCTAATTAGATCGCACAAAGTGTTGTCGTTTCGAATATGAATACAGCCCAGTTGTACCCATCGTTTAATTACAAAATAGGTACTGCCCTTCAATTAAGTGACCAGTGGATAAAATATGAATTTTAAGCGCTCACTTTTTCGAGTTAATAGGGTGCAATTCTTTCTGATCTACTCTACTTGAGGGTTATTCTATTTAATTTAATTAAGGGATAAAAATTCTTGATAGAGATGTGATAGTGAATTGTGAGCCTGGAAAATATATTAGAAAGATGATTTTTTTAATTGGTGAAACAGGCGGCTCGGAACGAAGAATCCCAGTACTTCCTGTGTCACTGATCGTAAAATCATCTTTCTCATATATTCAACAGACTTCAAATTCCCCATCACATCTCTATCATTGAGCATAAGCACATATCAACATTCTAGTCCTAGCAGTATGTAGGTAATTTGTCACTTGAACCTTGCCTTGACTCCCGCTAGTCTCTTATTGCTTAGCCTGCGTAGCAAGCGTTTCCAATCGAGTTATTGCGCGAAAGTTAGAGCGGAAGCAGAAAAAAAGGTTGAAGGGGGAGGGGGAGGGGAGAAGAGGAAACGCTTGCCCGCAAACCCTACGATTCTGGAAAACGCCCCTTGATATTTCACGGTTCGGTTTATTTGTAAATTGACAGCTCGTCAAAATAGAAACATAACGAACGGATTACCCCTGGATTACCAGATTTGTAAAATTACTTTGTTGTATAATAGAACACGTTACAGGCGATTGCAAGAACTGTAATAAAAAAGATTTACGATAAAAGAAAGTTAAAACTATGAGCGATTGCTGCAGAATTTCTTGTTTTTTATTGTGTGGCTTTATCTCGTCTGAAACCTTGTCGACACGTCAAAAATGATTTGTCCGGAACAATTCACTCCGCCGGGTATAAGTTTTGCAGAGCGGCTGCTCTTCAGCCTGTGTCGAAGAGTTCTCTACAATCGATGCCGCTAAATTTCCAATAAACAAAAAGAATCTTTTCATTTCAAAAAGCTGACAAATCGCTTGTCCATGGCGGCTTTAGCTAGTGTCGAGTACCGCTGAGTACCGATGTTCTGATTTTAATATGTTGATGTTATCTGCAACAAACGGTCCATTTTTGCCAGTCAGATCTGCACGCCGTCATTCTCAATAAATTGGCCTTCCCTAGTCTCCACTGCTCGATCTCCAATTATACTTTGACGACTCTGATCTCATAAACCTTCGCACAAACACGATTCCAATAGATATCAGTCCAAAGCATTTGTAATCTGCGACCACAAATCAGATGAGACCAGATACGTGACACACGAAAACAAAGCATACCTGGTTTGATTGATGTTTCGAAGGCTAAGTAATCAACACTACCCTCACCGCGCCAATCAGAAGCTGCGTTCGTGGGCGAACGCAGTTTTTCAAAATCGTGGGGTTTGCGGGCAAGCGGTTCCTTCGTTCCCCTCCCCCTCCCCCGTCATTCATGTTTTTTTTGCTCTTGTCCCAGCTTTCTAGACGAACGTCGCGAGGAAACGCTTGCTACGCAGGCTACTTATTGCTTAGTGGTAGAGCATCTGGACTAGCAGCCTGAAGGTCATAGCTTCGACTCCTATTGGGCCGTCTGTGTCACTGATTGAAAAGTCATCTTTCTCAAAAAACTCTTTTTCAGAGAATTACCATGATTGTCTGAGTGACGTAGAAGCTGCGACAGCACTACAGCCATCTTATCTCAAGGCGATTATCAGAGGTGAAAAGGAATATCAGTAGAACACCTGAATTTTAAAATTTCCTCCATTTAATCATTTCAAATGAGTCGACTTTTTTTCACTAGGGGCGAACACCTGTTTAAAGTTGAAGAAGTTTGAAGAAGCCATCATCTGGTGCGACAAAGGATTAGACGTATCCTTTCTTTATCCTGTTCAGAGACCTTCTATTTTCTCTTTTGAGATCTTCGTGTGCGCGCACGAAAATAGAAACTGTGAGAGATTTATTAAGCCTTAACGCACTGGATAAATTACTCAAACCAAAAGAAAGGAAAAAAAGTGTGTCGACAGGCTATCTTTTCTTAGAAGAGTAAATACAAATCCCTGACCGCACAAATTATTACTTCCTCTATTTTACTAGATCAATATCTCTTAATACAGCTGGTTTAAATATTAAGTGACTTGATGGACGCGCCCTGACGTCTCACAAAAAGAGTATCCATTTATATACACGTACAAAACGGATTACCGAACCATTTCTCCAATTGCTGCTGCTGCTACAAAACTGCCGCCAGCCAAGTTTATGGTATAAGCAGATTATTTTCTATCCCCTTAACTCTTGTAAGATTGACAAGGACAACCACGATCTGTTGGAGATAAAGACCTGTTCTTTCATAGAAGGCGAACACATTTTAACACAGGAAGGTGATAAACCAGCAAAAGAAGAGAGCGATCCACCAACAAACCCAAGACCTCTTGATCGCACATGTAAGTAAAATCCAAACAGGAAGCGTACTTGTAATAACCAGGGTCTTTACTTCAAGTCGATCTACAATTTGCCAGGCATCAAATGTTATGTTTTGTTCTCTGGCTTTGACTAATTCATACTGGCAGAACTCAAAACCGCTCTGTATATATTTTTATTTCAGCAATAGCAGAAACTCACAAAAATGCCGGCAATGATGCATTTAGTAAAGATGATTTTGTCAAGGCTATCAACTCGTACACAGAGGGAATTGAAGTAAAATGCAAGGATGAGGATCTGAATGCCAAATTGTACAACAACAGGGCATCAGCCCATTATCACTTGGGTAAAGTATCATTCATATTAACTCAGCGTATTGCCAACATTGCATTTTGTTCCGTATCCAACATTCCATTGTCTATTCTGCATCCGGGCCCTTTTACGTAACGACACTCCTGGAATCTCAATTCAACTGTCTCTGTTGGCTCTATTGATGTTATCAGGGTGAAGTCTTATGTCCTATTATCATCTCTTGGTTATGCGGACGACCTCGGAAGCCTAAGGGAGAAACAGTGGGGAAGGGGGGTGGGGTCTCTGTAGAGAATTTAGACCTCATCTCGAAGAGCTTAGTTCCTGGTCTCATTTGCGTGTTTATTAACAGCTCAAGTCTGGAGTCCCTGAAAACCGTATGTCCGTTTTATGTGCCGTAATAGGTTCAACTCATGCATGCATCTTCCCTTTCCGCCAATGCATACTTCGCTGCATTCGCAAGGAATCTTATAAAATACTCACAATCTTGCTTTCGTGGGTTACTAAACTATTCTTAAATCACATTAAGTGTTTTGCCTTGTCCAATTTGAAAACACCTCGAGCGTAGGCAAGGTACATAGAGTCTATAAAGTAGGCGCTGCCCCCTCAGTTCGAGCGGATTATTCTTTTTAATGTGGGTATAATAAAACTCTTTTCCAGGATATTATCCAGATTGTCTAAGTGACGTAAAAGCTGCGACATCACTACAGCCGTCTTATCTCAAGGCGATTATCAGAGGTGAAAATGAATCTCAGTTGAGAACTTGAATTTTTCCTAAAACAATGATTTCAAACGAGTCAATTTTTTTTTCACTAGGAGCGAACACCTGTTTAAAGTTGAAGCAGTTTGAAGGAGCCATCATCTGGTGTGATAAAGGACTTGCCGTATCCTTTCTTTACCCTGTTCACAGACCCTCTTTTTCTCTTTTCAGATCTTCTAGCGTGCGTACAAAAAATAACTTCCTCGTGGGATTTATTAATTCGTAACGCACTGGACAAATAACTAGTCTGCTAACGTACGTGTGGACAGGCTATCCTTTCTTAGAAGAGTAAATACAAAAACCCTGACCGCATTATTAATACTTTGATTTTTACTAGGTCAACGTTTTTTATTATTATTTTTCATCTTCGTTATCAGTATCCTTTCTTGGATCTGCTGCCAAAGTCTTTAACAGTTCGTTTTTTCTAGGAGGCCCTATGTGGGCCTCTCGGATAACACTATCTAGGTCTTGATAACTGAAGACGGATAACTTCTGCCTGAGGTGTTGATAACTCAGATAACTCAAGACTAAGTAAGAAAATCAGTCTTGCGGGGCAAATTCGTTCCGAAAAAATTCAGAGTTTACAGTTTCAGCAAAAAATTAGTCCCGGACGAGGCTCCGAAGTGGGGGAAAAGGCAAAACACGGGGTAAAATAAGAAAAATATATGTTGGCTAGCAAAGGGAGCCGATGGGTGGGCTGGAGAGGGGGGACGGGCGGCGCCACCGCCACCCTTTCCCTACCCAGACTACCGGTGGGCTCGCCTCGCTCGCCGATTTTTTTCTCTTTTTCCCCCAATGCGGAGCCTGGTCCCAGTTTACGAAAAATGGAAAAGCAGAACAATCAAGAAACCGAGAAAAAAATGCCGTATAAACGGTATATAGAAGCAATCTTGCAATGTTTGCATAGACCTATATGGTCGCCCGTTTTGCATTTATTTAGTAGCATACTCGTTTCTCACTTCGACTCAGATATTTTGCCTGAATTATGAAACTTAGCTGGTACTCATAATTAGGGCCCATTTAAAGAATAACATTGTACAGAATCACACTTTTTCCCAAATTCACGAACAGCAAAGAAACTTGGAATGAAGCCGCCTCAACGATTCCTCCCGGTTGGCGAATCCGCTCTTAGAACCAATCAGATTTCAGGATTTGGGAATTCTTCTCGCTTTTACAAATAACCACGTGGGGCTCGTTTTTCACTTGTATTCATTCAGTATTTTTAAGGGGTGATTCTTCTTTAAAGCCTTGTTTTTCGTCTATTTCAACCCAAAAAGTGGCTCCATAATTAAAAGTTAGGTATTTTTGGATGATTTCTCGACCGTTTTCAATGAATAAAAATTGGGGATGTTTGAGATTATACAAAATTGGAAAATATTGGATTTGAGGTTTAAAGGTAAGAAGGAAATAATGAGCAGACAAATACCAGATGGTCCACCACCACCACAAGGTGCCCCTGAGCTCATTAGCGGATCAACTTACCTTTTTCTTCCCTTATTTCTTTCATTCCTAAATCATCCCCACTCCCACCAAAAAAAAAACAGCCGGAATTCATATCCATATCATTTACCAAGTCCATTGCATTGTAGGATACTTTCTAAAACCTGGTTATCGAATTTGACAGTCTTTAGATTGACAATGGTAACAAGACGCTCTTAAAAATAAGGAGGATATGCCAAAAGGATGCTACAAAGTCAGAAGTTACCACTGTCAAAAAAACGGTTAGTGGTCGATGTACAGAATATTTTGGGCTCACGGGTAACTGTTCAGCCAAGAAAATGTGTTAAGAGCAAATAAATTCGTTTTGAAGTAAGTATAGCAGAACCTCGATTTAACTCTGTCAAGGGACTGGGGAAATTTGTTCGTTATATCGAGGGTTCGTTATATCGGAAACCTCCATAACGAATTTTTTGTAAAACAAGCAAAATGTTCGTTATGTCGAGGTAGAATTAATGATTAATTTCCAACGCCCAGCATGTCCGGGTCTGAACAATTCCTGTTATAAGCATTTGTATACGAAGCTATTGTCTAACTTCAAAGCTGTTAGCTACGGCACAAGAAACACAAGAACAGGCAAACAAAACTGCTTGAAACTACTTTACACATAAATTTTATCCCCGTTGCTCTGTTTGAATTCATCTTTAACCATCTTTAGGTCACATGTTGACATTTAATCGTTATATCGAGGTATACTTTATGTTGCGTTTCTGGGTTGTGTTCGTTATAACGAGGATTTCGTTATATCGAGGTTCTGTTCCATACATTTTATTGTAATTTTGGCCGGGCTGAAGTAAATGGTTCCTTATACCGAGTACTTCGTTACATACTGAGGTTCGTTGGTTAAATCGAGGTTCCACTGTATACACATGGTTAAAAAAAGAGAGACATTCACATGTGACTTACCTCAAATCTACCACGTTTGCGTGGTTACGCATGCATTTTAGAGACGTACGTAAAAACTAGTACACCAATATAATCAAATATCCTGACTAATATCTGATCAAAAAGCAATTCAATTTTACAGGTGTTTACTCCATATCAACCATCAACGAATGTGCCCAAAGAAAATCAGCCCGTTGAAATAAAAGATAATGAATTTGCACTCGTTATGAGCAATTTTGGTGATGTACCAAATCTTTCTGGGAATTTCAACGACATCGTTAACTTTTACTGCCAAATTCTCAGTACTGCCAAGCATGTGGGAGACAAAGCTAGTGAAGGAGCTGTGTATAGTACCCTTGGTGGTTTTTTTCTGGGTCAATGTGATTACAAGAAAGCCATAGAATATAACGACCTTGCTCTTGATATTTTCAAAGAATTGGGCAACAAGAGACAGGAAGGATATGTGTATCAATGTCTTGGTGATGTTTTCCAAAAGCTCGGTAATTTCGAAAAAGCCATTGAGTACCAAAACCGTGCGCTCAGTATTGCAATAGAGCTGGGAGAAAAGCCTATGGAAGGTATGGCTTCCTACGGGCTTGGCAATTGTTTTCGAGGCTTGTGTGGTTATAAGAAAGCAATAGGCTTCTATAACCGTTGTCTTACTGTCGCTAAAGGTCTGGCTAACAAGGAAATCAGTAGGTCATTAGAAGGTGTTGCCCTTGCCAATCTCGGACACGCTTTTGACTGCCTTGGTGATTACAAACAAGCTGAAATTTACCATAGGCTTCACCTTAGCATTGCCAAAGAGATGAGAGACAAGTCTGGAGAGGGAGATGCTTACACAGGTCTTGGCAACGTTTTTCAGGGCCTTGGAAATTTCAAAAAAGCCGAAGAGTATTACAGCTTAGGCCTTAGCATTGCCAAAGATGAACGAAACAAAGAAGCAGTGGCACTTGCATATTTAGGTCTAGCAAACGCTTCCCGCAACCTTGGAGATACAAAAAATGCAGTAAAATACTCTAATCTGCAGCTTACCTGCGCAAAAGAACTAGGAAACAAATATATCGGGAAAGGTGCGTATTGCAACCTTGGACATATTTATAAAAGTCTTGGAGACTTCAAGAAGTCCATAGAATACTTCAAACGCTACCTTGAAATTGCCAAAGATTTTGGAGACTTGGAAGGAGAAGGGGCCGCGTATGGTGGCCTTGGCAGTGCTTTTGACAGCCTCGGAGATTTCGAAACTGCAGTTTACTATCACGACCAACATCTTGATATCGCTAAAAAAATTGGAGATAAAGACGGGGAGGCGATTGCACACGGCAATCTCGGTAACGCTTATCTCAGTCTTGGTGACTTCAAGAAGGCCCTCTACTACTACTTACACCGCCTTAGTATGGCAAAAGACCTGGGAGATAAGGCAGGAGAAGGACGTGCGTATGGCCATCTCGGCCGCACTTATCAACATATTGGCGACTACGACAAAGCCATGGTCTATTACGACCGGCGTCTCTGTATTGCCCAAGAACTTGAAGACAAGGCTGGGGAAGGGGCTGCCTGTGGCAATCTAGGTACAGTTTCCCAAAATCTCCGTGACTACATGAAAGCCATAGATTGCCACAAACAACAGCTTAGAATTGGCAAAGAAATAGGAGACAAAGGAATGCTAGGCAGAGCCTACAGTAATATTGGACAATGCTTTGAGATGCTGAAAAGTTTACCTGAAGCACTCGAAAATTACCAAACAAGCGTCAAAGTGTTCAATGAAATGAGAAGTCTCCTCCAGTCTGAAGATCAGTGGAAGATTGGATTTCGGAACGAATGTAATCAAGCTTACACAGGTCTTTGGAGAGTTTTGTTAAAACAGGAGAAGCTTACTGAAGCTCTAGTTGCTGCCGAAGAAGGACGGGCTCAGTCACTAGCAGATCTGATTAAATCTCAATATGGTTTACAAGAATGCCAATACAGCGGAAAATTTCTAGAAAAAGAGAACGGCATGTTAAACAGCACTTCATCAAGCACAATATTCCTGGCTGTTAACGTGTTTGAAAACCAAGTAGATATCTGGTTACTTTCCAGAGAGAAACCTGTTCTTCACCGGAAGAGAAAACTTGACCATCATCGTGCAAAGAACGCAAATGAAACGCTACAGTCTTTGATTCAATTTTCCTACGAAAATATGGGTGTTCGTGCTAAAGTTAAGTGTGAGAATCGATCTTTGGATGCATTACATAAACAACGCTCAGTTGTGGAGCGGTCATCCAAAACGTGCTCACAGCCTATTAACCAAGAAGGAAATCTTCCGTTAGCCACGCTGTACAGTTATGTGATCGCACCAGTATTAGATCTGATTGACGGCGATGAAATAATCATTGTCCCGGATGGTCCATTATGGCTAGCTCCCTCTGCTGCATTGCTAAATCCTTTTTTCAGATACTTATGTGAATCCTTCAGAGTTAGAGTGATTCCCTCGATTACAAGTTTGAAGATGATTGCCGATTGCCCAGAATACCACAGCGGTCTTGGAGCTCTAGTTGTAGGAGATCCAGACGTGACGAAAGTTACTAACAGCTATGGAGACCAGCTGGAGCCGCTTCCTTTTGCCAGAAAAGAGGCACAGCTGATTGGGCAAATTCTAAATGCGGTACCCCTCACTGGAAAATTGGCCACCAAATGTGAAGTGCTAAAACAGATTAGTTCGGTTGCCGTAGTACACATTGCTGCACATGGGCGCATGGAGACCGGAGAAATTGCGTTGAGCCCGAATCCTGAACGGAAATCGCAGATCCCTGCAGAAGAAGATTACATGTTGGCAATGACTGACGTGATGAATGTGAAGCTACGAGCAAAGCTGGTTGTCCTTAGCTGTTGTCATAGTGGTCGGGGAGAGATCAAAGCTGAAGGCGTGGTCGGTATTGCACGTGCCTTTATGGGTGCTGGTGCTCGTTCTGTTCTGGTATCGCTTTGGGCCATCGATGACGAGGCCACGTTGGAGTTCATGAAAAACTTCTATCACAACCTTGTTAAAGGGCGAAGTTCGAGCGAGTCCCTTAACCACGCAATGAAATGTCTCAGAGAATCCGAGAAGTTCAGCGATGTAAAATACTGGGCACCTTTTACACTTATTGGCGACGACGTCACTCTCTCGACAAATAACAAGAAATCAGGCCCTCATAGAGAAACTCAAGAGACAGATAGATGATCCGATCTTATGCTTGTGTTTCTTTGGCCGCTCGTTCGCCAAGTTTATCAAACTGTGGACAACGTAAATGAGAATTAGATATCGCCTGAAGTTGCCCAAGTAATACACGAAGTGGTACCCCTTTTCTTCCGTGAAGAGACAAGTCACTGCAAAGAATATTTTTCAATAATATACTGTTTCAAGGTCTATCTCATGTATTACGTTCTGTTTTAATTAGTTTTTGCACAAATGGACTACTCATATAGAATTTGTAATTGGCCCCCAAAATTGTAGTGAAAACTAATTACATGGCTGAAAACTGTGAGGTTTTTTGCTAAGATAGAAAGAAACGAGGACTTAAATGTTGAAGGAGCAGTGTCCCGACAGATTTATCGTGTTTTTTTTTAGTACACTAGCCTAGTTTCAGCTGTAATTTTGAGCAATATTGTGCAACAGTAGAAGAGCTGAAGACAACACAAGGAAACAAAAAGGTACACTGCAATATTAAGTTTAATTTGTTGGGCCTCAGTTTAATTCACTTCCTTCATTTTCGCATTGCAGAGACGCTTTAAATTAATTAAGTTGTATACAGTTGAACCTCTCCACAACAGCCACCTTGGGGAAAGAGGAAAGTGGCCGTTGTAGAGAGGTGGCTTTTGTCGACAGGTTTAAACAAGAGTCAATGTATGGCTTGCTCGCCAAAAAAAAATTTGGCCGTTGTAGAGAGGCCGTGGCTGTTAGTAGATACTCGAATACTCGACTGTACTTGATGATGAAACATAAGAAAAGACTGACAAAACTTCTAGACTTGTGCGCGGGCACGGTATTGTCTGTTTCATCTGCAACTGAACATGTAGGGGTTGCTTCAGTTCAGTTCAGTTCAGTTTCTTTTCCCTCAATATTTTGACTAATGCTAGTTTACAGACTTTGGTTGATTTTTACAGGAAGATGTTGCTACAGAATTAACTTGAACGTTTGAGTATGATGGCCAAGTGAACCATTAGGTTTCCTAATTGGCCACCATAAATACCAATTAATAAATACAGGCGATCGATGAACCAGAAAGATCAAAATTAAAATAAATAAGTAAATGATAACATAATACAAAAGAAAAGAACGAACAACAATTGATAACAATTAAACAAAATACAAACGTATAAATACAGATAAGTTTTAAAAGAAGGGAGTTTAGGCAGAACTAGGTAGTGCTAGGTTTAGACAAGTATTGCTCGAACAGTAGATGATGTTTGATTATTTTTTTTTTTTTGAAAAAAGCGTTCTTATTCAATTCTTTAAGGTATTGTGGAATGCTTTTCCAACGACCGATTGCCTTAAATGAATTCTGCTTGCCAGTATTCTTTCTTACACGAGGTTTATATGAGTTTTGATTGGTTGCATATCTAGTATTGTTTAATAGTTATGGATATCGCCAGCGTAAAGAAAGGTGTCGAGAAATATGTTGGGTAGTAAACCTTTATGCCAGAGATCGGTAAATTTTAAAGAATGCAGAGAATAAACGATGTATGAGTATGTCTAGCGAATTCAGCAATGGGAAAGTACTCTCGGTATATTTACCACGTGTGTTTACAAAGAATATTAATCTACCTACAAGATTTTGCTTAATCTGCACTTTTTTTTAGGTGCGAGTTATAGGTGCTAACCCAAGCCAAAATTGAATACGAGATGTAAGGATAAATTAACTTGCAGCAATTTGCTTTAGTTGCTTAACAGATATTTCAGTAAACAAAAAAAGAATCTAATGTGTTTCCACTTTCAACACACTATTAAATTTATATGGTGATTCACAAAACTAGTTTCGTCTAACGACCCCTTCAGTTGATCGCCACAGTATTCAAAATAACAGACACTTTAACGACCCCTAGTGACAAGGCTGTTGGGTTACAACAGTCCTTGGGATGCGAACGTAGTTCCATTCACTTTTTTTAGTTCAATAGATTATCTTCCTTGATTTTACTAATCAGAACAGACTCTGTGATTTGTCTTAACATCGCTTCGTTATGAAATGTGCCCGTGACATTCATTACAAAGTCAGGAACGTTTCCGTCATGCCTGTCACATGAGTGTCTCCACATTACCGAACTCTCCTCCCGTCTTTCCAGAGCATTCAGGAGCTCTTTCCCGCGAGTGTAGGCGCTTCATGATGTTTCCCCCAACATACTTATTCTTGCAGTCTTGACATACTAGCTCATAAATAACTCTTACCAGTACTGCGGCAAGATCCCTTTCCGTTATTTCGGCGGACCAAGTAGTCAACTTTTGAGCATGTTTTCTCTCTGAAAGGATCTGACTTTTGTAATACGCTCTTTATTGCTGCACCTGACTGTTCAACGACCTTAATCTTAACAAAAAAAACTGGCTTAATTTCTATACAATCCCAACATTTCTGGAAATTCGTGCGCAAATACATGAGATATGATATTTCTATCTGGTCTTTGCGAACTAGAGAGTATATAGTACGTTCCATCCATGTTTCTAAGCTGAATATTCACTGATATATCCTTTTTAGTAGACTTAACTATCACAAAATTAGTTTTGGATTCCACAGCAAAAATTTCCGTATTCCGGCCGTATCCCTGTGTATACATTTTAATCACCTTAACTCTTTTAAGATTGACGATGGCAATAAGAATCTTTTGGAAATGAAGAGGACATGTAAGTAATCGTTACCTTTTGCATACTTTCAACTTCACTGGTGTAATTTTTTTTTTTTTTTTTTTTTTTACCCTTTGAAAAAGTGCAAAAGGGTTGGGGTAAAAAAGCTTTCGGTAAACACGAATTTTTTCAAGACTTTTAATTTTTCACGGAAGGAATAAATGTAAACATCACGGAAGACGAACCAAAACCAAAAAATTAAACGAGAGAAACACATTAATAGTGTTTGTTCATTTTTAACTTTTTTTTCATTTTATAATTTAATACAAAAATTAATATTTTTGTTTTTAGAAAAGAGACTTGTTATTTATCTTTTCTTTTTCCTTTTTTTATCATTTATTTTTGTATTTTTTTTTTTTTTTTTTTTTTTCAGCATTAGCAGAAGTGCACAAGGGTGCTGGTAACAAAGCTTTCGGTAAACACGATTTTGTTCAAGCCGTTTACTTCTTCACGGAAGGAATCAATGTGAACAGCCAGGATGACGAACTAAACGCCAAGCTTTACCACAACAGGGCGACCGCACACTTTTATGCGGGTAGAGTATTTTTGTTTTCTTGTAAAAACTAATTTCAACCTTAAGGAATGAAAAGAACAATAAACAAAACAAAATAAACAAAAACGATCATAGAAGATTAAATTAAAAGGAGTAATGAAATATTGTAATTTTAAAAAATGATATGAACCTCAGCACAGTCATTACCCTCTTGAAGACTACGGTATCTGATGACAATTTAGCACATAGGATCTTGTGCCTTAACTGATCTGAAACTTAATCCAGCGAGTTCTCAGTGACCAGTAGTCCAAGTATGTCCTGCGTGGCAGGCGCAAAATACAGAGAGGGAGGGAGAGAAAAAATGGAAAAGGGAAAGGAGTGCGTGCTATACGAAGCCAGTTATTTTGCATAATAACTCCCTTTTCCCTCCTTCCCCCTCCCCTTTCCACGCCTATCATGATGCAGGTGAGACCAAGCCAGGAAATGTGATTAAAATGACTCTTGTGACTCTCTTTTTCCCGACACATCAGTTCTTCTTTTACAAACTTCTGAAGTGAATAACGTATACAGGTACATTCTTTCATAGGTGAAAATTATTATTATTTTTTATTACTGTTTTTTTTATTATTATTTATTTACAGGAAATTATGAGGATTCACTTAGTGACTACAAAGTTGCAGTATCATTACATCCCACTTACTTAAAGGCTATTGTCAGAGGTGAGAATAGATTATAACACAGTTTATCACGCTACACAATGAAGAGAAGTCTTATAACCCAAAACTTGCTTTACACCAAACCTTTTATACCCCTGATTTAAATGGAGACAATATCACTTCCATTAAATCTTGAATTGTTTATACATTAAAATTTATTTAAAAAAATATGGGTATTTGGAACTCACGTTCAGAATAGGACCACCATAGTTCAAGTTAACCTGAAATCAGTACAAGGTCAGGAAACAAAGGAGGACAGGGCTCGTTCATCTCCATGTGAGTTAAGAATACAAGATATATCTCATGGCCGGGTTTCAAAAACTTGGTAGCGATGATCGTATTTTACTAAATCCCTTAGAAACAATTAAAACATGTAGCTTTGTAAAGGACTGCTGATGAGTTTTAAAGACGTGTAAGATAGAATTCAGTGGCATGTCTCAATTTCACGTAGGGGCGACTACCTGTGTGAAGTTGAAGAAGTTTGAAGAGGCTAAGAAATGGTGTGAGCAAGGGCTTTCAGTATCCTTTACTGCCTGCAATTGATCTTTAAAACTACTTCAACCGTATTTCTATTATATTGTCCATTTTTGTCCATAATGACATTCTCCTTTCTCAAAAAAGGGTAGTTCTTTTAAGTTTCACTGTAAAGAATTTTACTTATACTGTTTCCTAAAGGAAACGTAAAAGGCTTAGTTCATCCTGTGGTTTTTTGTCTCTGATGTTAAATTATTATTATCAACGGCGTCCAACTACCAAATTGCGGTCGGTTCCATGACGCCGTCCACCATTTACAATGCTCATAATTTGTAAGTATCAAATGTTAAACCTGATTTTTCTCCGCTAATAAAGAAAAAGCCTGCATCTATGAGGAAAACAGCCCAATTCAAACAATTATAACAACTAAATCCTTAATCACACCTAGAGAGCGAGTGGTAGAACAGTAAACGACAACTGTTCAATCTTTAATTAATAAGGATTTGCATAGCGCGAGAATCTCGTATGCTGTGATCCAGGATAATTCATAAATTGATGTTTTCTTTTTTGCTATTAATATTTCTTCCTGGAAAGCTTCAAGCTCCTAATTAAATTGTTAAGGGGCGGACCATTATGGGGGAGGGGTGGGGGTTTTTGCCTTGCAAGACCTTTTTACTGGCCGATTGCCTGTGCAAGAATTTTTTTTTTTTTTAAGTGCAACCCTTTGTAGGAATTTTTTTCCGAAAATTTCATTCACACGTTTTAGTCATTAAGATAAATGAAAATGACGCTGCTTCGTTTTATTACAGAGGTTGTTCTTTAAACGTGACTTTCACTGTTCAAGTTTACACTTATGACTCACAATACTAAAGTTTAATTGATGTAACTTACACAATGACTGTCCTAGACGGCATGGCGCCTTTCTTTTGCTCTTATGCCACCACTAGGCAGGGAATGTAAGTTTTTTTTCATGAAAATCGTATGCTGAGATGCCTGCATTTCACATAACACTGTGTAAATCCTTTTATTAACGTCTTACACAGAGCGTACTCATGTGCAATGTCTTGATAGAAACGCTGGTGTCCAGACACTACAGCTTAAACTATGCAACTGACTATAAGTGAAAGTTATTTGTATCTCACTAGTGATTTAGGAGCATTTTAAATTTGAGAAATGATCAAAACATAAGAAAATATTGCAGAATGGCGTTAACTCCTAGCGCAAAAAGTCCAAGTCTGAATATTTGATTATCTTCTTCGAGAATATCGGAGCTAAAAACTCAGCTGTGTTTATAAGCTATAAAGTCAAATATCTTAATATACTTTGTTATTTTAAGAGCTATAGATCAGTTTCTAAATTTGTTTTCTCTTCTCTTCTCTTCTCTAGTTCAGGCTGAGGTTTTTCCCTCCCACCAAAACACATGGTCATTCTGGTACCCAGCGTACCAGAGGTTTTTTCTCGCGTGTGGCGGGAATCTTCGTTGTCGGCTTGACACCGAAGCCGTGAGCAGCGAAGCAAAAAAAACCTCACTTTTTGCGGGTGTAACTATAAGAAAAAAACCTTGACACACCCCCAACCCCCCTGCCCCCCATCAGTTTTCTAATGGTCCGTTCCTAAATATCCTCTGGCAAAGTCATCCGTCCCATTCTTTTTTTAACTTCACACAAACCTTGTTACATGTCTTGACTATCCTAAGATTGACAAGTTTGACAAGACGCTCTTAAATATAAAGCACTCATGGATCATGAATAAGTTCTTGGAAGCCGAGGCTTACATCAGATCGGGCACTGCTTTTAAACGTCCAGATGATTTCAAGAAAGCCATAGAACATCTCAACATTGTTCTTGGTGATGTCAAAGAAATGGGAGAAAAAGTTTTGGAGGAAAAAACCTATAGCTATCTCGCTTGTGCTTATGCCGGTCTTAGTGATTATAAAAAAGCCGTGGTCAACTACAACCTACTTCTTAGTGCTGCTAAAAGCTTAGGGGACAAGCCTGAGGAAGGAAATGCGTATGCAGGTCTTGGTGACGCTTTGTTTCGCCTTGGTGATTTCAGAGAGTCCCTGGATTATTACAGATATGCCCTGAGCAATGCCAAAGATCTGAACGACAAGGAAAAAATAGCCATTGCATATGGAGGACTAGGAAATGCTTCCCATGCTCTTGGACATATTAAAACCGCGATCAGCTACCTGGAACGGAGTCTTGACTATGCCAAAAAAATCGGAAACAAAAGGGAGATAGGAAAAACATACAGCATGCTTGGCCATATTTTTCACAGCCTTGGAGACTATAAGTCGTCCATAGAACACCACAAAAGTTCCCTTGATACTGCCAAAGATGTCAGAGATGTGGTCATAGAAAGCGAGGCGTATGGTGGTCTTGGCATTGCTTATGACAGTTTCGGGGATTTCGAAAAAGCCATTTATTACCATAGCCAACAACTTAGGATTGCTAAAACTACTGGAGACAAAGTTGGTGAGGCAGTTGCAAATGGCAATCTGGGAAACGTTCATACCGGTCTTCGAAACTTCGAGAAAGCCCTCCACTACTACAAACAGCGCCTTAGTATCGCAAACGGTCTGGGAGACAAGGCTGGGGAAGGACGCGCGTATTTTCATCTCGGCAACACTTATGAAAAACTTGGGGATTATGGTAAAGCTTTTGAATATTACACCCTTCGTCTCCGTATTGCTGAAGATCTGGGAGACAAGGCGGGGAGAGGGGATGCCTATGGCAGTTTAGGTGGAGTTTTCCTGTGTTTTGGAAATTGTAAAAAAGCTGAAGAACTTTTCAAACAACAGCTTAGAATTTATGAAGAGCTTGAAAATAAAATGGGGACTGCTGTCGCTTACCATAATCTTGGCCGATGCTATGAGTTGATGGGAAGTCCGCCTAAAGCAGTCGAAAATTACCGATCAAGCGTTAAAGTGTCTAATGAAATAAGAGGGTCTCTCCAGTCTGAAGATCAATGGAAGATTGGTTTTCGTAACGAATGTAACATTGCTTACATAAGTCTGTGGAGATGTCTGTTAAAACAAGAAAAGATTGGTGAAGCTCTAGCTGCTGCCGAAGAAGGTCGGGCCCAGTCACTAGCTGATCTTATGATTTCTCAATATGGTTTAAAAGAATGTCAATACTGCCATTACAGAGGAAAACCTCTAGAAGAACAGGAATTTGGCATGTTGAACAGCACTTCATCAAGCATCGTATTCTTAGCTGTAAACGTGCACGAAAACAAAGTAAATATCTGGTTACTTTCAAAAGAGAAACCTGTTCTTCACTGGGGGAAGACACTAGGCGATCATTGTGCAAAGTTTGCAGCTGAAACATTACAGTCCTTAATTCAATTTGCCTACGAAAACATTGGTGTTCGTGCTAATGTTAACTGCGAGAATCGGTCTTTAGATGTGTTACGCGAAAACTGCTCTGCTGTGGAGCGGTCATCCAAAAAGAGCTCACAGGCCGTTCTCCAAGACGATATTCATCCCTTGTCAGCTTTGTACAGCTATGTGATTGCCCCGATGTTAAATCTAATTGATGGCGATGAAATAATCATTGTCCCGGATGGTCCATTATGGCTTGCTCCGTTTGCTGCATTACTGAATCCTTCTTCCAAATACTTGTGTGAATCATTCAAAGTCAGAATAATTCCCTCTCTGACAAGTTTGAAAATTCTTGCTCATTGTCCAGAATATCACTCCAGTAGTGGAGCTCTAATTGTCGGAGATCCAGACGTGAGTGAAGTTACCAACAGCCATGGAGACCAGCTCGAACAGCTTCCTTTTGCCAGACAAGAAGCACAGATGATTGGGCAGATTCTTAATACGGCACCTCTCACTGGAAAATTGGCCACCAAATGTGAAGTTCTAAGACAGATTAGTTCGGTTGCCGTAGTACACATTGCTGCACATGGACGCATGGAAACCGGAGAGATAGCGTTGAGCCCAAATCCTGAAAGCCGGAAATCGCAGACCCCTGCAGAAGAGGATTACATGTTGACAATGAAAGATGTGATGAGGGTGAAGCTGCGAGCCAAGCTAGTTGTCCTTAGTTGCTGTCACAGTGGTCGAGGAGAGATCAAAGCTGAAGGCGTGGTCGGTATTGCACGTGCCTTTATTGGTGCTGGTGCTCGTTCTGTTCTGGTGTCGCTTTGGGCCATCGATGACGAGGCCACGTTGGAGTTCATGAAAAGCTTCTACCATAACCTTGTTAAAGGGCGAAGTGCGAGCGAGTCTCTTAACTACGCAATGAAATGTCTCAGAGAATCCGAGACGTTCAGCGATGTAAAACACTGGGCGCCTTTTACGCTTATAGGCGATGACGTCACTCTCGACGAACAAGAAGAAATCAGGGTCTCGTAAATAAATTAAGAAACTATGTCCCCAAAAGGCAGAGAGATGGTATGAAACAAAGTCTTGTCGATCTTTCTACAACTTCATCTGACTGTGAGCAAAGTAAATGAGACTTAGATATCGCCTGCCTGAAGTTACCCAGATAATGCCCGTTTGAGTAAAAGAAGCGGTATCTTAATTCTCTTCCGCGAAGAAACAACTCACGGCTGCGTGGGAGACTAGCAATCTAAGCAAGTAGACAATTTATTTCAATAATAAACTGTAGCAAGGCCAATCTCATGTATCATGTTCTGTTTCATTTTTCGGACAAATGAAGTACTGTGGAACCTACAAAACAAAGAGCCAAGGCACTGGCAAAATTTGTTCGCTTTCACGCGGTTTCGTTCAATCATTCGTTATACCGAGGAATTCGTTATATAGAGGTTCATTATATCTGTGTCCCACAATACAATTGTTCCCTAAAATTTGTAGAGAAAACTAATTACAAGGCTGAAATCTGTGAGTTTTTTGCTACTCTAGAAAGCAACGAGGCCTTAAATGTTAAAGGAGCAGTTTCACGACTGATATATGGTGTTTTCTCAGCACGGTAGTTTCAGCTGTAGTTTTAAGCGGTATCTGATTGTTATCGTGCAGCAATACAAAAAGATAAATAATTAAAAAATAAGTGTTAAAATTCTTTGCAATGGAACATCTAATTTGATCGGGTCTAATTCACTTCCTTCCTTTAGGCATTGCAAAGAAGTTTTAAATTAAGGTTCATAGTATACTTGGCAACGCAACATAAGATAAGAACTAACATATTTCGAGATTTTTGCATGGAATGCAGCTGAACATGAAAGAGTTTCTTATTTAATCCCTTAATTCACTCTTAGAGTGTTCTCCCTTCTCTCTCTTTAGCCCTTTTACCCCTGATACAGGGGTACAAATTTCTTTTTGTAAAATCCTACGAAATATATATAGTGCTGTGACGTTGGCGGGCAAAGCGCACAAAATCTGTTTTATCAAGTGAGGTACCACCATAAAGAGATTGGAAGGCTCAGGTTTTGAGCACCAACCAATTTTTAGTGCGAAAATGGCGGGTGGTCAATGAAACCAGGCACAAATCACTTGTATGAAAGGATATCATATTGATTCCGTTCCAACTTGGAAGGTAACTGATTGTTCTAAATTTTTGCGTCTTTCCTTGTTACCTTGGTATAGCAAAAGACCACACTGAATGAAACGACAACCCTAGAGGAAAACAGTTTCTTATCTTCGCACCTGTCAAAAAATATCTGAAGTCAACTGGATTCGCCAATTCCAAACAATGACCCACAGTGGAGAGATCTTCTTGAAGCGTGAGCTAACTTTAGCTCGTTTTAACTCCTAACCCTTTTATCTCGCCCAAATCATTCACTGACTTTAGCCGTAACACGGAAGCTGATAGGCGAAGTATGAGTAAAAAGGAGAAAGGCTTTCCCAACCTCATTCCCAGGGTTTTCTCCTACCCGTCCCTACAGAGTGACGTAGGGACGGGTAGGAGAGAATTCTGGGAACGAGGTTAAGGCTTTCCTTTAGCGTTAATTTTCGATAAGTACCCTTAACAGAAGAAGAGCCGTGAAAGCGATCTGAGAGATACCAAGCTCTGGTAATCTGAAATCTGTAGACTTTCTTTTTGTAGCCTACCCTACGAGTAGAATGTATTTGTAGCCCAACGCTTCCTCTCATCGTTATTAGCCAATTAGAGCCATCATAAAACACAACTTGACGCAGCCCCAAAATGATTGTATATATTTTTTTTCAATGCTGAAAGACCTCAAACCATACTGGAAAATACCGCAAAATAAACTTATGATTTGAAGGGCTGAATACGCTGCAAAAATACTGAGTTCACCATTTTCACNCCCCCCCCCCCCAAAAAAAGAAGGAAATTGCATAAACATTGTCTTCAGTTTCTCTTGGGACGGCTATAATACCCATGTTACCCAGAAACTGGAAACAATGGTTGTGCACAAGATGCATTATGGTCTATATGAAGGGTTCCTTCCCGGTTTGTTGAAACGCGATATTTTCAATCCGAGGAGCAGCTAGCCTCCCACGCACGTCGAAGCCCCAAGGAGATCTGCGGAGCAGCTTGTTATCATCGCTCCCAAACAATATCTGCCAGGATCTCGTCAACTGCCAAAATATTTGCCGAAGATAGCGAAAAACATGGGCGGCTAACCGGCAAGACGAGAATTTCTGTTTGCGAACTTTGGCCCATGAAAATCCTGACGCCGGTCCGATTAATGGGGAAGACACAGTCTAGCGCGAAGCGCAAGAGACGTGCGTGGAGCGAGAAGGGGGTGAGAGAAAACATTGTGCAGGCGAGAAATAGTTAAAGAGCGATTGAATTCATCTTGTGTGGTTGTGTTCTCATTTCACGTGATGAATGAGTTCCAGATAAGCCATTGATAGAAGAAATTTCATGCTGATCACTCTTAGGGCCGTTAAAGGCTTTACCGGACTAACCAATCAGACAGTCAAAATCCTTTCACTTAGCATGTCTTCATGCTCACCCAATTTTTGCCGCCTTCTTTCGCGAGGAAGAGCAAAGAGCAAGGAAGAAATACGATGTTGAAAAAGGAAAGTCTTAAGAAAAAAAGGTGGATCAGTTTAGGTCTCTGGGAAACTGCTCACCTACCCCTCCCCTAAGCCAACATTTGGTAGGTGGATAGTTGCCCACAAACCTAAATTCATCCTGCATTAACCCAGTGGATACTTTGGAGATTTTGCAGTTTACAGGTGCTTCAACGCAAAAAACTCAGCAATGACTAGGTTGAGCAAACTGACTGTTCCCTCTCACTTAAACATTTCTGTGTTTCTTGAAATTTCTGTTCTACAAATCTTCTTGAAAGGGCAAGTCTATTCAATTTTTTATCTAGGATAATGAATTTGAGAGAGGCATGAGCTACTGTTCTTACAATAAACGGTTATTAGATCCGACTTTTGTGATATCCGAACTAAACAAGGTCAAGGTAAGTGTTATCAGCCCAGCTGAAGGCCGAGGCTAATAACTGTTACTGAGACCTTAATTATTTAGGATATCACAAAAACCGAATATCTAATAATTGTTTTATTGTACATTGTTTTGAAGAAAACAACGACAAACGCACCGTCGTAAGGAAACTGAATTGATATAATTGTTGTTGGTAATCATGCATTGCCCGCACAACCTACAGATTAGTCAGTTATCTGCTAGCAGAGAACTAACTAATCTGTAAGTTGTGCTGATTTCCAAAATTAGCTATAGGTCTTAGCCAATGAGAAGACGGATAATGAGTACAATGTAGAATAATGAGAAATAGGGCCCCCGACTTCCTTTCCAGGTGTATTTCTTATATGGTATGTGCAACTCAAAATCTTTAAAACTAGGAAAAAAAGGCCTCGAAATGGCTTTAGAAGCAAACAGAAAGGACACAACACAAACACGAGGTTTAGTCATTTTTATTTCGAATATTTTTAGTACGTATTTTGTTTATTCCCAGAAATTCTCTTATAAAATTCTAGCATAATTATTGTATACGAGCACTTCTGGAAGCATATAATGCTACTTTTGCGAGCACAATTTACTAAAGCCTACAATATATAGCTCAAACTTGATCTCGTTCAGAAAAGATTGAACTCTTTCTTTCAGTTGATATGATGAAGTTCCTCTTCTGTCAGAATTTTTGTCCATTCAGAGTATTTCTTGAAGGGATTTGGATCTTCTTCCATTAAACATTAACTTTCTGTGACCACAAGAGACTGGGAAATAGATAGGCTGAAAGGGAAAGAGCAAACAAGAATCTGTTTAGTACATAATTAGACCTTCAGATTCGAAAATTGTTCGGCATAACTAGGAAGAAAATTTCTATCATAGAAGTATAGGGTCCTTTCAATAATGAGAGGCTGGCCAGTTAGAGAGCAGTGGAAAAGCCAAGGCAAAATGGAACGCCAATTTAATGTTAAAGACAGTTACTGACTGAAGAGAAAACAACGAAATTAAGGTCAAAACTTTTAGGAATGACAGTCCGTTTTTTGTTGTCGAGTTCGCTTCTCTAATCACATGCCTGACGTGAGCGCGCGGGTTCCTACCGTGGAGAATGAGGACGCTCTTAACCCTTCTTCTTAAACAAGTTATGGTGAAAATCAGAAAAGGCAGAAGACGATTACAGTAATCGGCCCCGACGAAGGGAACACAGCGAAAAAGGGCGGAAAAGACTGGAAAGCCCAATTTGCCGCTTTTCCAAGTCTTTTTTAGATCTACACGTCGGAGTCGTAATTATCACCACATTGTTGTCTTTAAAAGGCGCAAAAGTTTCACATTACCAGCCAATAAAAGAAATAAAAGATCTAGGTGTTTTTAATTTGGAATGCAACATTAAATCCAATACAATAAGAAAAAAAGCAAAGAATAGCCTTAAGGCACATACCCAGCCAAACGCGCCACGACTTCCTGCTAACCCGGGCTTTCCATTTAGATGTGGAAGAACTATGCATAGCTAGTGCAAAGGAATTCGCGAAAGGAAAGAAGCGTTTTCGTTTGTATTACATGTAAACGGCCAATATCTCGGCTAGTTAAAGAGCAAGCAAACAGAACCAGACACTTTTAGTAAAGTACAAACATTGTCATCAGGGTCGCTAAGCAACGCGCATGTCACAAACCTAAAGAGATAGGGCGACGTAAAGAGATATAGACGCAAAGCTGTTTGTTTGCAATTTAATAATCGATAAGTTACACAGCTATCGAAAATTTTAAAACAGTTTTAAATGGATAATGGGTGATATCATAGTTTATTCACCTCTTCAGTACAACTGCGAGAAAAAATGTATATGAATTCCCCTGTACTACCCCCTCAAAAATTAATCGTTCCACAGGAATTTTCCCTCCAGCTAGGTTTCAGTTTGTTTCCTGTACTGTGGGTGCATATTTTTGTAGTATACACGGATACTACAAAACTCCTTTCCGCCTTTCCGTAGCCTTTCTCTTCGTACAAAATGTCATGAGT